TTTTTGCATAGTTAGTCTATGCTACAGACTGCTTCAGTCCTCCCACTCCCCATATTACTACTTGAGTCAGGCTCACATTTATTTGCTTCCTTTGAGTTTGCCTTTGAGCCCACTTAGTGCTGCTGGCTCTTACATCAGTCCCACCACTGGGGAATGTTTACTGTGGTTCTGACATCATCCATTTTAGAAGAGCAGTAAATTCACTCCAGGTTTCAGGTTGAATTGTAAGGAAGCTGTAGAAGTTGCTGAGCCTTTTCATCAAAATAGATTCTGCTCCTTCAGTAGTTCCTTTCAAGTTTACCCTAGAACCCAAAGCAGATTCCCTGCTCTTCTGACATGACAGCCACTGCCCGTCCTTGCTATTGAGACTGTCTTAGACTTGCTCTTCAGACTGTGCTCTCTGTCAGTGATTGCCTCATTCCTTGTAGAAGTTGCCCAGAGCCAGGGATGAGTTGCAGGATCTCATCCAAGCTCATCCAGAGGCTTGTGCTGGATTCTGCTGATTCAGTGGGTAAACTCCATCAGTAATGGATGTGCATCTCAGATACAGCAAGAAGGTTATTCAGAGCTGGCAGAAGCTCCCCAGAGATGGCATAGCCTACAGTCAGCTGGATCTCTCTGGATTCAGTAAGAGACCTGGCAATAGGAACCCAAGCAGGATGCAGTGTATGTGTATTTTTTGGGTAGGATGGGGGACTTTAAATGCTCTTGTCATTCCTCTGAATCATACCTCCATCAATTTCCTGAGCCTCTTTGTCAGACAGTCTGTGTTGCCACAGCCATCTTACCCCTCAGAATGCTTGCAAAGACAAGGCAAACTGGCAAAATCACTCAAAACATCCAACCTCTGCAGGATCAGATAGACTTGCAGAAGGCCCACAGAGGCAAGTTCCACCAGGAAAGGGATGGTGTCTTGAATCTGCATTGTCTATGATGGTGCTACTAAGGAAGCAATTTGAAGAACACCACATATTCTAAAAGCAAGTTCCTATCACTCATGCTTATAGAGAAAGCCCCAATTTATGCAATTCCGGGCAGTATCTACAAATAGATGAAAACATAAGAATCATCTGTAGTTGAAAGGAAACAGGGCCACATTTGAATGGCACATGCCCATTCCACAATCCTGCTGCCTGTAGATATGACTTACACAAGTGCCATCCTTCTTCTACCCTCATTTGTCTAGTCTGTCATAATGTTTGCCTTATTGTTCCTGACCCAAGTTTACAATGTTAGGCTTTATAATTAATTGCAGTAGCAGAAATTAAGGCTGTTTGGTTACTGAATTTTAACATGGGATCTTAAAACTTGAATCACATTGTGGGAGAAAGGCAGGATATAAAATCCTTGAAATAAATACATAAAGCTTGTACTGCAGTGAGAATCAAAGAAGAAGAAAAAGAGCCACACCAAGCATAATTATCTATTTTCTCTTCCATTAGTGTCAAATGTAACAAAATGTAGGAAATATCTGCTTAAAAACCTAAAGTTTGATTATCATGGTGTTTGGAAAGCAATTGGATTGCTCACCAGAGAGCAGAGGGAGACAGTCAGAGAGAGGCATGGGAACTCAAAGAAGAGTAGCAGACTATTTGCTTGGTGCCCTCCTATCAATTGCAACATGGTACCCAAATCAACAGCTTTTGAAGTACTTCTGCAGTTGAGTGGGAATAGATTCCATTTTCCTGAGGACTAGAGATGTAAAGTTTCACAGATGTTCCCAGCCTTGATGAGAAAAGTGTGTCAACACATATATATGTTGAGAAAATGGTAGACCACAAGCAGGTGTTTTGTTTTGTATCACATTTGGGCATCTTTGTTGTGAAAAATTCATTTGTGTAGAAAATGTGGGGTTCTTTTTATAAACACAAAAGGAATTTTTGTACAGAAAGCAGTGTGGTTCACACAGAACACTCTAGCTGAGATCCTGCACGGTGCTGGCAGAGAGTATAGCCCCGTCAAACATCCCTCTGCTTCCTTCCCATCTCTGCAGGTGCACATACTATTTTTCTGCAGCTAAATGCCTTCCCCCCTCAGCCTTTTATGACTAAGGAAGCCTGGGGTGACAGTGGCCAAGCAGCACCCAACTGCATTTCTGCAGCTGAATGCATAAAGAAAACCTGCAAGAGGCCTTGGATGGGTCCTCCAGAGGTTCAGAAGGATGACATTTTCTTTGTCCAAAAGCACAAATGCTGGACACCAGTCACATGCTGCCTGGCTGCAATCTCTGCCTCCTGCTTGGCTACCAAATGTCTGTGGAAGGAGGGTGATGGGCATAAAAAAGGTAGGTTGTGTACCTGTGAAGTCATTATGTGAAGGCTGTGCTGGATACCCGCTTCCCCAATGCCTTAAAATATACCACTAACCATATTCTTGTCACACTGGCTGTTTGGAACGCTAACAACAACAACAACAACATTTTCACCAAAAAGCGACAAAATGTGAAAATACATTTTTAAAAGTTCTTTAAAATTGTAATCTTTCTCATCAGGTAGAAAACTTTGGCAATTATTTCTTCTTGTACTTCGGAATAAAATAAGTGAAGATTTAAAGTCCTACCAACCTATGTGGATTCAAACTGATTTTCTACAGGCTTTAAAACATAAAAACAATCATACTGGCTGTCTGCCCCTAGAGAAGAGGACATCTCAAGGACCAAGGGGCAGTGAAGCCACCTATATGCTTCTCTCAAGTTCTCGCCACTCTCCACAAATTGTGGAGGTTGACACACAATGGGGTTTAGGGAGACGTCTTCCTATATGGTAAAAGGGATGCGGAAGAAAGTTTTATTGTATATAGTATTCTAGAAATCCAGTCACTCCCTGCATCTGCTACGCCATAAACTGGGATGTGGGTTGCCCAGAGGAAGTTGAGCTTAGAGGAACAAGGAAAGAAGGATTCCATTCTAGTCCAACACCACCCCACAAACACCTGAACAAGCAACATCAACAACCTGAAGTCTCCTGAGGTGGAGATGAGGGAGAAGTTTTCTCTCCTCCTTTCCAATTTGAAACGCTGCAGTCGAGCTGTTGTATCCGCAGTGCAGGGAAGGCGTGAGGCTGGCCCTTGCAACTCTCACAGCGGGGCTTGGATATATTTTTGAGTACGCAGAACACCTCCATCCCCCTGTTGGAAATTGGTGCTGCCTGGGCTCTCTAATATTGGTCCACCCATATGGAGCTGCTGTTTGTCCCTGCAATGCAAACAGTGGGGTCTGTCTGATGAGTGGGTAGGTGTCTGATCAAATCCTTGCATTGCTGTGATAGAAACCTGACTGAAAAGCTGGAAGGAAGCACCTGAGACCAAAGCACCTGAGACTACAATGGAGCAGCTCAAGACAAATTTTCTGTGAGTCAGCAAAAGGCTGGTCCCCTGGCTCAGGCCACCTCAGCTGTGCCTTTGCTTGGAAAATTGCTCCTGAGAGCATCTCTTTGGCATTGCCACTCTTTGCAAACAGAAGCTATCTCATAGTCTCTCTTCATTGGCTGCGCTGGTCACTCCAATGAATGGCCCTTAAAGTGCTCATATACCACAGGTTGACCATAAATAAGGGACATCACTGTCACACTACCACACACAAACACTTTCTCACACACAGAAAGGTCTGTGATCGAGGATCAAATCAAACCATCCTCACACTTGTTAAGTCTCCTCTGGTTGATACAGATTGCATAGCCATTCCTAATGTGGATCTTGTTGCTGTGTGCCTTTAAGTCATTTCCAACCTATGGCAATCCTAAGGCTTTTAGGGTTTCAAGGGTACCAAGGGCTTGGCTTAGAAAGATTTGTTGAGTATGGGCTTGTCATTGTCTTCCTCTGAAGATGAGAGTATGTGACTTACTTAAGGTCTTTTGCTGTTGTTGTTGTGTGCCTTCAAGTTGTTTCTGACTTAAGGTGATCCTATGGCAAACTTATCATGGGGTTTTCCTGGCAAGTTTCTTCAGAAGGGGTTTGTCATTGCCATCTCTGAAGATGGGAGTGTGTGACTTGCCTAAGCTCCCCAGTGGGTTTCCATGGTCAAACATGAATTTGAACCCTGGTTTCCAGAGTCATAGTCTAATGCTCAAACCACTATGCCATGCTGGCTCTGCTCCTTGTTTAATTAATTGAATTCTAATTTCTTTTATGGACTAATATGTCTAAGACATGAAAGCAAGAAACTTCAGTCAGCAGAAACAGAATTATTATGCTGGCACACATTACTTGGAAGTATTACCCAGACTATGGTGTTGCTCATGAACTGGCATAACTAAGCAGCTTTATTTCTTCCCCCATATTATTTCAAGCAGAGGAAGAGGAAATGGGAGTAAGAGGGAGTATGCTTGCAAGAGTGCAAGACCATATATTAAACCCACAATATATGGGTTTATTTATGTGGTGGGCTTGTAAGAAGGAGAAAAGCTTCTGGTCTAAGATTTATAGGTTCATCCAAAAAATTTTAGGAATAGATTCGGTAATGTTACCAAAAATATTTTTGTTGGGTATTGTGGATAAATAACTGGAGAGTAAATGTGTATTGTTTCTTTAATATATGACTATAGCAGCAAATTTGCTCAAACTTGGAAATGGACTGAAGCCCTAAGGATGGAAGAATGGATTGTTAACATCCGTGGGTTACCCAAAGCAAAGCAGCTTCATTTATATACCGCTTCATACCGTGCTATGGAGTGTCTAAGCGGTTTACAAATGTAAGCTCATTGCCCCCAATAAACTGGGTACTCATGTTAGCGACATCGGAAGGATGTAGGCCTGAGACAAGCCTGAGCCCTAGCTAGCATTGAACTTGCAACCTTGTGGTTTATGAGTGAGGGCCAAATTAACATACTGTCTTTGCAGACTGGTAGAAATAGTGCAAATTGAGTCCACTTTAAAGGTTAGGGTTAGGGTTAAGGAATCATGGGAACTGTATTTTACTGTGGCACCAGAGCTCTCTGACAGAGAAGGCTCAATGTCTCAGGGAAAAAACACACCAATTCCCATGATTCCCTAGCACTAACCCTAACCCTAAAAGTGGACTCAATTTGCACTATTTCTGGCAGTCTGCAAAGACCCATAGATTCTTAAGGATAAGTCAAATGAAGATTTTTTTGAAAGTCTGGAAATTGTTTATGGACTTTTTGAGCAATAAGTAATCTAATTATGTAATAATGTGTAGTTATGGTTTTTAGTCATTTCAGTAGGATTATTTGGTTGAATCTGTAATGGTGGAGTATTTTCCCCTTTTTATTTGTTTTTTTTCTTCATTACAGTCTGGATTGGGGGTTGAGTCCTATTGTGCATTACTTATCATTCCTTTTCTCTCCCTTTTCCTTTTCTCCTCCTATCTTTTTCTTTCTGTCTTTCTATCTTCTGAATGTATATTACTTTGACTGTAAATTAGATTGTTGATATTAATGTTAAAATTAATAAATTTTAACCCCCCCCCAATAAAAACAAACCCATAAGACAATTCCTAGTTAAAGCAGCACACCTGAGACACTACAAGCTTTTGTCCCTCAGCACCAGCTTAATTCTATCTATAAATCATATACTCCAAATGAGCAAAATGAATAGATATATGGTAGGGGGGAGCCTGTAAACATCAGGGTTTGCATATAAGGGTCCGTGCTCTCTGAATCTGTTAAGGTGATCAGGGCTGCACATCAGTATTGCATGTTTGCTTGGGTTAATGTGAAGGCTAAAAACAAAATAAAGCAAAACACAAAACACACTAAATCTAAGAATAGATGGGTGAGTATCTGCATTTCTGGATTTGTTGAAGATTTGTGATGCTACTTTGAGAAGTTCTGAAAGTGTGAGTGTGGCTATGCAGGTTGTGCGAATATGTACATACACACTGTGCACCAGCACGGGATGCATGGAATTGATAGAATGTAGTTTTGTGTGCAGGATTCAAACAGCATCAGAAGTTTTAATTTCAAGTCAGTATGTGCAAGAAAGCTACATTAATGTGATAGGTTGATACAGATATAAACACATAGACAGTGTGAGCTCATTAACACAATTCTCCTGTGCTCACACAAACACATACATCCTTCCTATAATTAAACAACATGGACTAAATAGCTAAATATCCATCAGCTCCCATTTCATCTGTTCTCTCTCTCTTTGCAATATTTTAAATAAGAAAAAGGTGGACTGCAAAATAAACTGAAAATGTAGCAGGGATAAGATAAATTAACAAAAGCTGCTGTATTAACATGTTTTCAAGACTTTGTCGAGAAATCATTGGATGAAAAGCATTTTGCTCTGTTGTGCCCACTAACTGGGCTGAGAGCCCAGGCAGAAAGGATCCAAGCAAGGCAATGAATGTCAAAGGTAAAGAAAAATGAGAAGGCAGCAGAAAGGATAGATAAATAAGAGAGGATTTCACTTACAACTATGTGGTTAGTGGTGAAAGAACATTTATCCTCTGGAGATGTTTAACCTGACGACATCAAAAAACAAAACAAAAAAACCCAATATTTTTTAGCTGCCTTTAGCTATGCAAACTTTCTGTTCAGGTAGGCACTGCTGTCACTTGGGAGATGCACTCTGCTTGGGATGACCCAAAAGCTTTATAAAGCTTGGGATGACCCAAAAGCTTTTCCCCAGCTACCTTCAGCCTTCAAACATGTGCTAGCATGTGGGAGTAAATTTAACAGTGGTTTTGACCCACTCTGCAAATTAATGCACATTAACAGAATCACCATGGGCTACAGTATCTGCTACACACATTACCGGATATCCAGGACTTTTCATGATGGAGCTTGCACCAAGCCAGGTAACAAGAAATATGCTTGCTACAGAAAATGTTAAGATTTTTTCCCCCACTTAAACAATTTTGAGGGCAGTTTCTAAACACCAAGCAACTCAGCAGGATGATCACAATTATGCTGCACTAAGGAAAAGATGCCACAATTGTAGCAAACCTCCTAGATAGTTTTTTGGTAGTTCTTTCTCTCACCCCCATCACTACACCAGCAAACGTTATCTTGTCTCAGCTTAGCCACCATCCTGAGTCAATTTTTCACTTTGTCTAATCAGACTCAGAAAACAGTGGAGCAATCTCCTTCTTCCTCTCAGCATCTCACCACCGGCACCCTACAGAAAAAGACAACCAGGTGGGTTGTTTCTTGCATGCCTGGCAGGTGATAGCACATCATGCAGAGAGTTCTGCAGCTGAGTTCCCAAGAGGCTGGGCCAGGGGCAACCCAGCAAAGAGGCTCTTGGCAAACTACAGGAACCATCCCATCACTAGTCTAAAGGCCCCAAGAGAGCTAAAGATTCCTGAGCCCTGGGTAGTACAGTTTCCCAAATAACTAGTTATGGAAACACACAGTGAAACATTAAATATGTCATTTGAGCAATGTTTGAAAGATTGGGCTGCAGGGGGTGGGGTGGGGAAAGATATCATTCAATAACATTGAAATAAAAACAAGCCCTACTTTTTACTATATTTCCCTTCTTTTTTTCTTTGAGAAATAACTGGTGCTCAGACATCTATGTGCACATGGAGGGAATTATGGCTGGCTTTTATACCACTCTCCATGAGCAAGCCTCTACTATTCTGTCTCCTCTTTTAGGACACAATAAATACACAAAGCAGTTTGAACAGCCTCTAAATTTTACAAACATGCTTAAGAACATCAGTTCAAAACCCACAGTTGTGTAAACAGATATTTTAAAGGGCTTGTGAACTTGATTGCTACAAATTGTTGATCTGTTATTCTCAAAGTTACAAAAATAGTAATTCTTCCATTGGATTTGCTGTGTGGGTCACCTTGTGTTATTGGATGAGCATTTCTTAACAACTTAAATATAACAAATGGATTAATTAATATTAAAGCAATTCAACTAAAACTTTGGCTTTACTAGGGACTGAATAAATCAAACTTAATGAGCCAAATGTTCAAATTTTATTTGGGTAGTGGCAACACCCAATTTGTTTCAGTCCTGCCACTTAGAATTGGTGTTCACTGCCAAAAAAAATCTGGTAATTCATATCAGTGTTCAGCCTAGTAATTCAACAAACAATAATCCTTTGGAAAGGGCCTAAATACCCAAAAGGCACCTGATCCTGTCTCATCTTGGAAGCTAAGCAGGGTCAACCCTGCTTAGTATTTGGTCAGGAGACCACTAATGAATACTGGATGCTGTAGGTAGCATTTCAGAGGAAGGAACTGGCAAAACCACCTCTGAGTATTTCTTGCCTATGAAAACCCTATGATATTCATAAGGTTGCCATATGTTGACTGTCAACTTGAAGATACATCCACACACATACTATAATCCTCAGGTCCAGCTACAAAGCCCTGTGTTTTCTGTCTTCTTCCACACACACACTTACCACCACCACCACCATTACCACCAAACTATTTAAAACAGATATAATTATATGTGTGCAGTAAATGCGGAAACAGATTTCCATAATAAAAACAGACTGATATTATTTAGGTTTAAATTCAGTTGGAATTCCTAGCCAGAGAATGAATTCACTGAATGAACTGCTAAACAGTAAATCAACACTTATGTAAAACTAGCTGCTGAAAGGGTCTAGCAATAGGGTTTAAGCTTTAGTCCCGTACTGGTTATTTGTCTAAACACTGAAGATCTGCAGGATCCACGTGGCAGGATTTGGAAGCTCCTAGTTTTCTGAAAGCATAAGATTCTTCCTGTTAATAAAAGATTTAAATTCTTGCTAATAAAAATTATGTTAAAATATTTGGCTGTGTTTCCTACCACTTCCAAGTTAAGTACTACATTATACCACACACATTGTTCACACATCAATTAAGAGGCACACTAAGTGCCAGACAACAAGGATACTGAAGTTCTTCTTTTAGTGTCCACATCAGAAGGAGGCACTCTGGATATTTAATAGGCTTGTGGGAATGTTAACTAGAACTTGTTTCACTGGTCCCTTCTGCATTTAGCATTTGTGGACTTGCACGTAATATTAAAGACTCATGAACAAAACTCTGTTATGACAGAATATTTTAGTCGCATCACTGTCAAGGCTGGGAATACAAATTCAACTTTTTACTTTTGGCAATGAGCTTTATTTTTAATATAAATTAACAACAAAACGTTCATGGTCACTACCA